GGGAGAGAGCTGGAGGCATGGCTTCCGAGCACCGCTGGCTGCTCAAAAGGCAGCTGGGGAAACAGCTGGTGGCAAGCCAGGGAGAGAGTGGCATAACACCAGCTGGGAGACATTGGCTCCGGAGCTGGGAGGCTCCAGCTCTAACCTCAGCTTCCCAGAGAAAGAGTCAGCTGCCTACCTGGAGACCCCGACCAACAAGGCAAGAGGTCGGCTCTGGGGTTGGCAGGAGCAAGGAGCCCCACTGAGAGGCAGCAACCAGGTGGGACACCACTGGGGAGCGGCAGGGCTCTGACTAGGAGCTCTGGAACCGGGGCTGACGGTAGACCCTCAAGCCCTCAACCATTCTTGGACGGCTCCAGATGGGGCAGAGCATGGGGAACCATGAGCCCCCTAAAGGGAGAGAGAAGTGATGCTGGCGAGAGGGACCAAGATGACAGAACCTCAGGTCAGCCGGGTGCCAGGGCAGGGACGCCAGAATAACTGGTAGGGATGGGGCAGAAGGGCGCCTCCAGTACCTCTGCCTGTTAGAGGGGAGAGGATAGAAAGGACCCCCGAGAGAGAGAGAGGGAGAGAGAGGCAATCTCAGGAGCTCCTCCGGCAGGCACCGGTGTTTTCAGTTGAGTTACGGATGACCCCATCAGGGGCAAGTTTATTTTCTTGAAGAGGGGAAAATCAGCCAGAAGACCAGGGGTGAACCCCTGAAGGTTCATGACCCAGAAGACCCAGCCCTTGCAAGGCGGGCAGTGTGGGGAAGATCTGCGGGAAACAGCACCAATCTAGGCCGAAGGTGTGGTAAGGGTAGGGTAAAGGGGAGGTTTGGAGCCCCATGAAGACACCCCCAGGGTTGAAACCCCTCCGGGCCCCTAGGTGGCACCAGAATAGGGTTTCACCCTGTCTTTTCTGGGGGACAGGGCAGTGACAAAGAGGTCCCCAAAACCTTACAACACCTACCAGCGACAACTGCGTAAATAGATGTGGCAAAAGTGGGAAGTGTTGATCAGTACTGCATAATGAGCTGTATGCTCTGGAGTGTGGAGACGGTGTTTTGGCATGAATGAGAGTTTCAGACACTTTCACAATCCTTCACTATTTCCAACAGGCCAAGAAGCCTAAAGGAGTTTCACTTACAGACAATGATGTAAATATCCCAGTGTCACTAAGTATCCCAGGATTCTAGTATTAGACAGTCTGATGGGATAACTGATGGAAAACAAAGACTTATTAGAAAAAACTGCTGAGATATTTGGTTACTGAGCTCAGCCATGGAAAGGGAAGTTCTGGTTTTGACAAAACGGAATGAGTGGAAATGAATATAGAATAAGATAAGAAGTCCTTTTTTAAAATACATAGGGGGTAAAAAGAAGGTACCAAGTAATGTGGGGCCTCTGCAGGACATGCTTGGTAATCTGGTGGTAGCACCAGTTGACAAAGCTAATCTCTTTAACAGATTCTTTGCTTCCATTTTTCTGAGTAGGGACCGGGACATCCCCTGCCACTGGAATCCCGGACGGACCCAGGGGAGGCGCAGCCAGGCACAGGGTCAGTGAGGACCAAGTCAGGGAACTTCTGGAGGGACTAGATGTGTTCAGATCATCAGGTCCTGATGATCTCCACCCCCAAGTGCTTAGGGAATTGGCAGAGGTCATTGCAGGACCCCTGGCACAGCTTTATGAGCACTCGTGGTGCTTTGGTGAGGTGCCAGAGGACTGGAAAAGGGCCATTGTGGTCCCCATTTTCAAAAAAGGGAGGAAAGAGGACCCAGGAAACTATAGGCCTGTTGGTCTTACCTCAGTCCTGGTGAAGCTCTTTGAGAAAATTTTCCAGGAACACATCTGCAAGGGGCCAGCAGAGGACATTATGCTCAGGGGCAAGCAACATGGGTTCATTAGAGGCAGGTCCTGTCAGAACAACCTGGTTGCCTTCTATGACCAGGTCACAAAATCCTTGGACACAGGTGTCGCGGTGGATGTAGTCTTTCTGGACTTTAGGAAGGCCTTCGACACCATCTCTTGCCCCATCCTCATTAAAAAAATTAGGTGACTATGGTGTCGACACCTACACAGTCAGATGGGTCACAAATTGGCTGGCTGCACCCAGAGAGTGGTGATGGATGGGTCATTTTCGACCTGGAGAGATGTGGGCAGTGGGGTTCTAAATGAATCTAAATGTCATTCTACTTCACTTTTTTCCATTATAGAATCACAATTATAATAATACTTAAATCCACTAGGTGACAACTCTGAATATAGATAAACTGCAGGTAAATTCAGTTGCCAGGTAGATTCAGTTAGATTCAATTAGATTAGTGAACCAGGTGGATTCAGTTGTCACCATCTCCACTAGCGGGTGCTATCACTACAGCTATGTCTTCACAACTGGGGTCATGACAGCTCTTCAGAGTAGACAAATAATTGGTGAAGGTCAGTTGAAGCCCAAAGTGATCTTTCTTCAAGCTAAACAAGTAGCAGAGCAATCTGCACACTGATGTGTCTACACTATTCCCAGTACTCAAGCTAACTTATTTACAGCAAGACCTGGTATCTTCATGCTCTAATACAAACTATTGTGTAGATGGACTCTGAGTTGTTTCACATTTCAGGTGAGTCTGGGAAACAATCACTGCATCAGGCTCTTGAATTTTGAGCAGCTGTTTCTTGTGCTGTGCAGGAACTGCCTCTTTTAGCTGGAGACGATATAACACCAGGGGCAGGTCTGGATCTCTATCCCCGCACATAAAGGGGCAACCCACGGAGCTGCCTGTCCTCTGCCCAAGCCCTGCACAAGCTGCTGCGGGTTCAGTGCGAGAAGCTGGGGAAGAGAAGCTTCCCACGTGGACCTGCAGGGTCCTGACAGCAAGTCTTCAAAACAGCATGAGTCAGGGCCCCAGAACTGATAGGACTTGCCTAAAAATAATGGGGTGTAAATTTGAATTCTGTCACCTTTTTGTTTGTTTGTTTGTTTTCATTTCCATTTAATCTGGGACAACACAAACATTTATGTTATGAATTGCTTTCTAAAACAATTGGAAAAATTTCATTAAAAAATTAAAATTAAAAAATTTCCATTCTGTTGAAAAGCTCTCATGAAAAATGCTTTAAAATATTTAGTCTCCCCTAGGATACTCCACTTAAACTTTCCTGTATTAAAAACTGTGAAGAATACTCTAATTCACCACTTGTAACACGACTTATCCCACCAATAGGTCATCAAATCTCCCCTGAAGCTATATCATCATTATCCCTGCTAGCCAGCACTCCACATCTACTACAAGGACATTTATTAAGTCAATGCAAAATTATAATGTCTTTGGAAACATTGGTCCCAGTTCAGCATATATGTATTTTCATACTTATTCATATTTAATGATGTATTTAATTCCCACTGATTTCAAAATTAGTAAAAGATACAATTTTCCAATTTGATTAATACTGGTAATATTATTGTCCTGGTTCTTTCAAAGAAAAATATTAAAATACTTGTACAACTGTACATGAAAACAGCAGAAAGAAAAGATGAAAAGAAAATAACGAAAAAAAATGATGCGAGTTGATATTGGAATAGTCTTTTCTTTCCTGGACCCCAAATAGAAGAGGTTCTCTTTTACAAAACTTTGTCTTAACTTAGGGCAACATTGGTCTGTCTGTTTTCTTTCCATTAAGCTTGAGGGGGCGGGGGCTGGGGGCGTGTTCTTTTTTGACGTTTGTGTTTCATTTTGTTTTGTTTTTGCTATGATGTCTGTAAAGTATTTTTAATTAAATTATTTGTGAATGTACAAATACTTTAGTCTTTGCATAAATAATAAAACAAAATGTCAAAGGATCATCTAATCTCTGTATTATATTACCTGAAAAATGGGGTGTTTTAGAGGGTATAAAAGGTCTCCTGAATGTTTCTCAATTAACCAAAGTTCACCTACCTGACTGGTCCTGCTGAGCAGTACTGTGCTGTGTTCTGCCTCTGAAACATGTCTTTGGTTTTGTCAAGTTGGAAGAAGTTCTTCAGGATGTCAAATAGCAAGATCCACATCTAATTCCCACAGTAAAACAGCTACAGGGTTTAATTGTAGCATTTCTGTCCAGTTTTTAAATTTCAAACTTCTATATGTGTTTTCATCTTGCAGCATTTGTTAGCTTGGAAAGTGAAAGGAAGAGCAGGTTCCTGGGCAGGGCACAGCCAGCTGCACATGCTCAGACAGAAGCATTTACATGTCCAGACTACCAGGGAAATGGCCTTCCTACCTATCCAAAACGGCATTTTTGGCACTTTATGTGACTGAAACCTTCCATTGACACTCACAAGGGGAAACAGAAAGTGTTGTGTGTGTGGTGGGGACTTTTAGATTCCTCCAATAAAAAAGTCTGGCTCTAAGAGGTTTTGAGTCCTTTGATGTTAGTAAAACACTAACTTTTAGTGAGCCTAAGAACTTGTCTGGAAAGGAAAAAGG